CGCCTGGTTCGGTGATTGGAGTTGCGGGGACAACGTTTTTTTTTTAGAAAGTTGTCAAAGCAATACCCTGTGAGTTGGGCGCCTTAGGACAAACTGTTACCTGGAGCTTCATTTGGCATAAAGTGCGGTATTACACTAAAAAAAATAAATAAACCATAGCTTCTTTGTTTCAAACTAAAGCACCTATGAATTGGCGTCAACGACCTTTTTTGGTTTGAAAAAAATTTATTTTTGGCGATTTTTTCATTTGAATACGATTTCGTTCTGCACTTCATATATGCTTTTTTTAGTAATTGGTAAACCGAAAAAAATCAAAAATTATCTGTTCCCTCTTATGGCGTTCGATCCATTCGATTCATTCTCGATATTTTCTCGAATTTCTAGACAACACCACTCTGTGATCGGTCTTACAGAGTTACAGAGTGGCATTTTTGGGAAAATTTTCTATTGAGCTGAGCTGATTCTTACTTAATACAAAATTCCAGACTACATCACGCTGCGATCGATCAAACAAACCGATGTTTAAGTTTGTTTAAGAAATCCCTTTTCTGTTAAAAAATTTCAAATCAATAACATTGAAAACGAAAAACGACTGCTTGAAAAATCACGTAACTGCTTCTTATAGTACCTTTAAGCAATATAGGGATCATATAAGTATGTTCGGCAATTATTATTATTATTATTTTTTGTATGGGGAAAAGTAGGTAATTCACTCAGAAAAAAGTTATCAAAATTCAACAAAATTTTTGTGGAACTCAAAACTTACACTATACTGTACTAAAATTAAATGGGCTTTGAAACTGCATACTCTGCTGCAAAATCTGATTAAAAAGTTGAAAATTTATATAAATTTTTATCATTTTTGAAAAAAGTTTGAAATATGAACTTATATGTTTTTTTAGATAATGAGCTATATTTTATAAAAAAAATAAGAAATATTAAAAAAAAGAAATATGGGAAAAATTTGTAAAAATGTCGTGTCCCTATTTATTTTTTCACCACTGTATTAGTATGTATGAGAAATATTTTTCAGTTTTTTGTTTTTTCACGATTAAGTTAATCCTCGAAAAACTTGCAATTTATTAACAAAGTTAAGAAATTTAAAATAATAAAATAAATCAAGTTTAAAAGAGTTTAATAGCACATTTTTCGCATTTTTGTTAAATTCTGTATATTCGTTTCTCCATAGTTAATTACAATTTTTTAGTATCGCAAAACTTTTACATATTTTTCGTGCCGCTCTACATAATAAGTAGTGCACCGATAAGGCCACCGTTATTGCAACATTCTGTTGCAACGAATTATTAATAATAAATATGCAACATTTTGTGGCACCAATGTACATACGTACATACATACATATGCGCATTCTACTAACCTAATTTTAGAATTTTGCTACGCCACTAATTTTCCCGCTGCGAAAATTACACCAGCCAACAAGACCACCACCACCGCAGCCACCACCATAACAACTAGAGACTATCAACGCCACCAAGTTTCGGCCAAAGTATTATTATCGCTAACGCGACTTGTAACTGCAAGAATAACTGGTAATAGTAGATAAGAATAAAAAATTGGAAATTTTTACAAATAATAAATATATAATAACCACCACCGATAACCTTAATGCCAATTTAAATGCTCACATAAAAGTTGCCACGCGGTATCTAACGGTGGCGCAAGCAATTTGGGTTTTTCCCCAATGTACGCTGCAACAAACTACATAAAAACCCTCGTCAACCAATATTAAGTTGCGTTTAAGTGGCATCGAGCAACAAAGCAAAAAGTGCTAACAAAAAAGTTGCTGAATTATGGAAAAAAGCTTAAAGGAGCTGCGCATACGCAATGCCCCCCATCGCTTATCAGTTGTAATTAACAATTCAAACGTTTTTTTTTTCGTTGCCTTCTGTTGCATACATTTTCCTACGTCTCTAATATAGATTGCGGGGAAAACTGTGAGGGAAGTGGGTAATTTGTGTATATATTGTATAGAAATTATGCGCATAAATGCCTGTCTCCTCCGTCGTTTGTCAAGTGCCGGTTGCCAATTGGTAGCTGGCTGCTGGTGGTGTGGCCAGCGGGGAAAAAAAATGTATTTATTAAGTAAAAAATGTATACATACATACTGTGAAGTCAGCATATTTTGAAAAACGTTTATTATAGTTTTTTTTTATAGAAATTCTTTGAGTCAAAAAAAAAGCATAAGAAAATTTATTGCAAATTCTAATTGTTAGTGGCTGAGCATAAAACAGACATGACTTAGTCATTTGGTGATTATTTTTCATTGCATTTAGCATTTGGCTTTGGTTTTTTCGCCGTTCCAAGTTAATAAATTACCTTTTGCGATTTCCATTGTAATGACTTCCTCAATTACCAAGCTACACACATAGCCATAACTCATTAACCTACTGAAATGAAATATTTATCAGCTTTGCAGCAAAATTGAATAGTTTGAAGCGATTACATACATAGCTTTACTACGCATAATTATTTAATTGTTTTCAATAATTCGTTGTTCTTCATTTGTTTTTTTTTTTTGAATTTTACGCTTGATGAGAATTAAGAGTATCTACTTTTCTTAATTAATTTAATTTAATTTAATTTTGATGGGCAGGTCCGTTTGGCTAGCAGTACATTTTGCTCCCCCTTGCTCTCCAATCTCCTCTGGCACCTTAGACTTATATCCGCAACTTCACGCAGGTTCACGCAGGCCGTCAAAAAAAGGCGACCGCAGAAGTTGCTATCTGGTCTCAGACATTCCAGGAGAGTGGCGGAGCAGCTGAAGCACTGCCATTTCCACTTCATAAATATTGTATGTTCTGCACTGAAGGAAATGGCCTTTGACCACCAACGGCGTGAAAATATATTTTCTCTTTCTAGGAAATACGTATAAATATTAGCTCCGAGGCCTTTTTTGATCCCACCTATGCCAAGCTTGCCTAAAAATCAGACAGTTCGTAACTTCTATCCATCTCTCATTTTCTAGAACAGTGAAAATTTCTTTCAACAACAGCTTACAAGTGGCAATAGACATGCCAGTGTTTTTCTATCAGAAGAATCTTCTTGTTTCTGTCCCCTCCTTGCAAATTTGTCTGCAATACAGTTACCCTCTACTATATTTTTTGAAGGAACACACTCACATATTATTAAGACTGTCCTGAAGAGGTCGGCGACAATCCAGCACAATTTTTTAGTTATTCAACGTTAAGAAACGCATAGTTGCAATTGTAGGTTGTCTTTAATACCGGCACCGGCTATAATAAAGCCCCATATTAGCTGAAACCTTAGCCAGGAATACACTATAATAGTCTTTGAAACGAAATTTGCACCTAAGGGCAGGGTTTCACGAAAAATATTCCTCCATCCACTTTGCCATGCAGCTGCACATCAAATTTCAATACTAGCGATTCCTCCCTGGTTGGAATTAGCGCAGAGAACTTTCTATTTGGACCCATACTTTAAATACGCTAGTGGAGACTGGAAGAATTTTTTTGTCTGTTAGTTTTATTTATTAATTTTATTTTTTAGTTTTCTTTAATTTTCCTAATTTATATTGTTTATATGTATATTTTTTATGTAATTTATATATTTTTCAAGTTTTTATTTAATTTTTTTGCATTTTTAAATTTGTATTTACTTTCGGCCGCTGTGGTGTAGTGGTAAGCAGTGCGCGCTTCCACTCCGCAACGCCTGGGTTCAAACCCTGGTCAAAGCAACATCGCAAAAAATATAGAAAAAAGGTTTTTTCTTAACAGCGGTCGTCCCTCGGCAGGCAATGGCAAACCTCCGAGTGTATTTCTGCCATGAAAAACAGCTTCTCATAAAAATACAATCGCCGTTCGGAGTCGGCGTAAAACTGTAGGTCCCTCCGCTTTGTGTGACAACATCAAGGCGCACGCCACAAATCGGAGGAGAAGCTCGGCCAAACACTAACATATGTGTAAGCGCCAATCTATTATTATTATTATTATTATTTACTTTTTTTTAATATTTTTATTTGTTATTAATTTTTTGGAATATTGTTTTAAATTAATTTTTAAAAATTTATTAAAAATTTATTGATGTTAAATTTATTTGTTTTTATGTTTTTTAAATAATTTGTATATCTTTTCATATTTTTTTCAATAAATGTTTTTATTTTTTATTAGATATTTTTTTTTGCTTTTTTAATATCATTAAATTTAATTTTCATTTCACTTTTCATGTTTCTATTAGTTTTTTTTAACCGATTTCAAAAAAAGGAGGAGGTTATCAATTCGTCGGAATATTTTTTTTTTTAATGTATTGTACCGCATAACTTTGGACCACGTCAACCGATTCTTCTCGTCGTCGTCTCTTCACGTAAAAACTCTTTTTGCATCGGAAAGGTAGTGTCTCAGAGGTGGTCCCTTACTAATCTGGTTTAGATCCGATCATTGGATCATGAAAAAATTAACGGTACTCTTAAATTTTTATATGAGATTTGAAGTCGGTTTTGTTTTTTGCTTAAAAATTACTTGTTTAATTAAAAATTTTACTTGACATCTATTTTTATTTATTCTTGTATTTTTTGTTAATATTTTTATTTGTTGTTTAGTTTTAGTTTTTGTTTAGTTTGTAATTTTGTTGGTTTTTTATGTATTATATTTTTTTAATTTATTTATTTATGTTTTTGTTTCTATTGTTTTTTGCATTTATTTCGGTTTCTTATTTTTTCTATTTTTTAATTTTATTTTAACTTTTAGGTTCGGTAATGATGTTTTTTTTTATTTTTTTAATTAATACATTTTTTTAAATACATATAATTTTTACTTATTTTTTAATGTTATTTTTTATGCATATTTAGTTTTTATTCTATAGTGTTTTATTTATTTGTTTTTATACTTTGTTTTCGACAGGCGAAATTTTTTATTTAAGTTTAAGTACGATGGAATTGAATCCATTAATTTTTATAAATGTAAATTATAAATTTTCGAAAATTTTCTCTTAATAATTTTTTCTCTCTTTTTGGTCTATTGCAGAAATGGGAACTTTTTGTGCTGAGTCGACTTGGCTGGGACTTGTCGTCTGTTACGCCTTTGGATTTTCTAGAACTATTACTTATCCGCCTGCCAATTAAGAGTAAAGAATGTCCTGATTTGAGTCTCGAAAAAGTAAGACAACATGCGCAGGCCTTCATATGTTTAGCAGCCAAAGGTAAGCTTAAACAACATCTGAGCAAATATTAAGTTTTTGTATTGTCTTCATGGCTTTCGGAAGTAGTTAGATTTTCTAATGCGATGATAATGTAATGGTAAATACATAGTATAAAGCTCTTGAAACACTCTCTGAGCTTATCTTAGTTGCACTGAGTTTTCTCCACACCATAATTGCTTTAGTCTTAATGCATTTCTGCTTTTGCAATCCTCCCATCTTTCTTCATACAGTCAAGCCCTTGCCAATAGTTCTTCTCTGCCAATATCGTCAGCCGTCCAAGTATGTACATAAAAGATATCCCTTGAATGAAGTTACCCACCATTGTCTGGCGTTAGTCGGTCTGCTTTTATGTCTACATCAGACTGAAAATAAAGTAAAAAGAAAAACCATAACGTTAATAAGAATTCGCAAACCACGCAAATAACCTGTCTGCGGCTTTTTCGCGGCATTATCAGCTGTAGCAGAAGACGGCAGGCCAGCATAAAAATGAGCCAATGAGGCAGCGCGGCAAGCGCATGCGTTCCTGATGCCGCTGCCGCAACACCAAATGTTCTCGGTTAGTTCATTATGAAACATTTTTTATGTCTTGGCGTGTGGCTACAAGACGCATAGCGCAAATACAGCTCGAGCTAAGCATTTAGACCCTTTGATTTCTTTTGGTGTCCGTCTTTATGACGTTCTGGTTGCCATTTCGTTGCCACAGTTTCAAACAGAGTGCAACATTGATTTTGCATACATACATACTACATCCATGTATTTTTTTTGTATTCATTGAAAATAGTTTACGCTGGCTGCTGGACTAACACACATACAGAGATAGTTAGACTGATTGTCTGTCTGCTTGGTGTGTTGTGTTGTGTCTCGAATGTTACGCCACATTCCAACTAATTCATTATTGATTAACTCAAGCGAAGGATTGCTTATTTCGATTTATTGAAACTATATGGCCCCTTAGCATTGTTCTGTAGTTTTCGATTTCGGACTTTTGTCCTGTGTGAAAGAATTTTGAATGAAGAAACATTTAGCTCGACCGTAGTACTTTTTATCTTGAAAACTTTTCTCTATTAAGTAGTTCTATATCGCAAATGACAAAGAAACATCCAGGAGAACGGCTGATATCTCGTATGCAGAGGAGTAACTATAGGGTGGCATGGCTGGCAAAATGCCACGGGCCCCCGATCCGAGAGCTTTTTGACATAATCTTTAATGGGATATCTGTCAAAAAAGCTGCAACTAACTTTACAGTCGACTTTATTTTGACTACGACTAGTTTAAAAAGTTCAATTAAATCAAGTTAGGGAACTTCCTATTCTTTTTAATCGTTATATCTATAAATTATTTTGTACTTCTTAGTTCTTTTGTTAACAAAAGCGTGTTTTTAGTTTTTTTAAACTATAATTTTATTTTCTACTTTTTAGTCTTTTGAAATCCTGCAATAAATATTATGCAGCCCGCATATTTCTCATTCTATCTAATTATTTCAATGCATCTGTGCCACCTATCGGCACAATTTTTTGTGGAGTTATATATTGTAAGTAATGTACGTTCCAAATATGAATGAAATCGGACTATAAATGCTGGTTTTACAAATATCTCGTCTCCTCTGCCACCTAGCGGATTAATTCGTCTTTCATATTGCATTTTTCATGGGGTTCTGAGATAAGTTTGAAGTTTCAAGTCTGTAGCTCATCGGGAAGTTTGTTAAATATTGATTGCAAAATTCCAGGACATACATACATACATACAAGTGAAGTTAAATAAAAGCTTGTAAAATACAAAATACACATAAAATAAAAATTTCAGTAGGATATCTCGAAAACTGAGGGACTAAATTGCGTTCAAACAGACAGACAGATCGACTTGGCTAAATCGACTCAGCCGGACGTTCTGATCATTTTGGCAAACATTTATGTGGTTCCATATCTACTTCTTCTGGTACTTACAAACCATAGACCAAATTCATAATACCATTTCATGTTCATGAAAGGTATAAAAATGATGGAAAAATCGTACGTTCGCGACCGGTACTTAAGCTTATAAATAAAAAAACTAATAGAGGAAGGAAGTATCTTTATTCCTCTCTAATATAAAATCAATCGCTTTAGAATATTCTGTTCCATTTCTCAGTTTCCTGCATTTTTCAATTTGCAGCCTAAAACGACTTCCATTATTATTCGTACGTTCGCAATTATGCCTTTTGCACCAAAGATATACCCAGCAAAATGCTATAGAAACATAAAAAAAATTTATAAAAATTTATTTATTTTATTTCAAAAGCGTACAAACGTACGGTTCACGAGCGTTCGAAATGCCCGTATGTATATCGTATTATTTATTTTATGTCGTTCTGCTTTCCTGAAGTTTGTACTGCATTAATGTTATTTGTTCCAAATCCTGTGCCTACAGCTGAACGATCATTTTCGAAACTAAAATTAATAAAAACCTATTTGGGAAACTCTATGGGACAATACAGGCTACGTAACTTGGCTATTCTGTCTATTGAAACTCCTATGGCTCTATCTTTAAACTTTGTTGATTTTATATATTCTTTTGCGGAACAAATTTCATTATAAATTTGTATGTATAAACCCATGTTCTTGTATTAGATATTTAACTAAAATACATATACACATTATTGTTAATAGTGTTGGGTAACTTTTTAAGTGGTTTTTTGGAGTTAAACGAGCTTCAGATGATATAGTTACGCTCGTATTTGTGGGAATATTTCGTATGTGTTACAATGAAGCCTTTGACAAACATAAACTGCCTTATTGGTAACCGTTGTGAGTTCTGAGTTCCAGTTGAGTATTTTATCCAGTGTCAACCTCAGTTGTTTCGCTTACTGCGAGAACACATTCTCCATCCCTACCCATTTATGTATGTAGGTACAGGTCAGGTGGACTTTCCCATATATTTCTTCTTTGTTTTTGAATGCGGAGATGATAGACTCCATTGAGTTCATAGACAAACACAATTATACTGTTAAATAGAGGACCATCTGCAGTCTGGATCGTATAGTCTCTTCATCATAGTCCTAAACGTGGATGGCACGGTCTTGCCTTTTGGCTTTTCGTCGACAACCAGCGTTTATAGTATGTGGGACAGAAGTCCACACCTAGGAAAGTCACGGATGCTGCCTGCTGTTTCCTAATATGGTTTTGGATGTTTAAATATTTATGAACCAATTGTACTAGGTGGTCACCATTTTGGAATTCTTTCAATACGGTTTCTTTCCCTTATTTTCGCTGCTTTTTATTTTGGAATTTTTTCTCCTGAAATCTTTACCTTTGAAATTCTATTGCCTCTACGACGTGGCTAAATCAAGCGTTTGCCAAATTAAAACAGTGGCAATAATGAAATTTTATACTTTTTAACATAAAACAACAAAAAATAAAACGAATGCATTTAAGAAGTAAAGTACAAAGTGCCGACAATTATCGTCAAAACGGCAGTCAAATTTGTGTGGCAATAAACGGACCAACGGTTGATTGAAAGTTAGTCGCGTGGAATAGGAAGCATCAAAAAAAGTGCCTTTATGATTTAGGGCAAAGAATGTAAGAGTAAGAACGGCATTAAAGATGGAATCTCTACTTAATTTGATGGTCAAACGCTGGATCTATGATATTCAACACCTTAGCTGATCGTACAGAAGTTTCAGCTTTTTTTTGGGGCATTGGCTCATGCAAATTCCAGCGAACAAAGTTAGTAAAATGAAATTAAAAAAAACAACTAAAAACAAAAGCAAATCAAACTTTGCCGTAATTTCTTCAGAGGATTAAGTCAAATATTTCGAACCCCTGTGGTTTATAAGACACACCAATGCGAGAACTATGAAAAAGGTAGTTTTTTTACTATCTTACGAAACGTACCACACGCTACAGTGGGCATATTTTGTAGTACTGTTCTTCAAAGTCATATTTTATTGGTTTTTGCATTTTTTTTTTTTTTTCTCCCCTTCATTTCGCAACCATATCGCCGAAAGGGTTAAGTGGCATACAAAGTAGCGGGCAACGCATGCCAAAAAAATTAAGGGAATCCTTTTCACACATATTTTTTTTCACAAATCTGCTATATTCCTTTCCCCTAAACACAACGAAATTGTGTAGCTGCTGCCTGTGCCACAGCGCAAAAGTGTCGAATTACAAATTTTTTGCTTCGCATGAAATTTTACAAAAAAAAAAACGTTTTCGCCACCGAGACGCCTTCACATATTCGATTGCGCTATTTTTAAACTGTCCTCATAAACCTTCCAAAAACATTTTATAATTTTATAACATAAGATGAAGATAAAAAACAAAAAACGATGTGTGAATGCCGATGAGCTTGAATTTGCGGTTGGCGATGCTTTCTTCGGAATTTAATTTAATTTTATTTTTTTTTTCATTGTACTCAATACCCGTAATAAACCGGCACCCATTTTTCGTACAGGTAATTTGAGTAATTTTTTCGTCGCAAGCGTCCTCCGCCCGCCCGCGCTGCACCATTTCGACGATGGAGTATTCTGAAATTCGCTTCTTCGCGCTTCTTCTGTAGTTCACTCGCTCTGTGTGTTGTGCATAAATTTGCCAAGTTAATTTCTTAATTAAATGTCGCTTGCAAATGAGTTGACGACATAACACATATCCACCACAAGTTCTGTACTACGCACCATACACTACATCTTTTCGGCATTGGTCTGCGGCGGCGGTGTAGAATCCTTTTTCAGTGAATTTTTTCTCTACCATTTCATACATTTTTGGTATATGTATTTTTTTTTTTTTATATGTGCGATTCTTCTTGTTTTTTTGTTTCCTCACGCATTCGACATACCCATATTGCATTTGCATAAAATCACAGTGTAATAATAATAATAACAACAATGCATAAAATAAAAGAATGTGGCATGCAACACATAACATAACTGAAACCGGTATACATATGATAATATCCACCACAAAATTATCATCAAAAACAAAAAAAAAGTAATAATTGAACAAAAAAAGAAAAGTAATGAAACCTTC